CTTTCTTGCTAGTATTCGTTATCCCCAAAACCCCAAAACCCCAAAACCCCTTGCTAGCGAATATATAGTGTTTTTGAATTTAAAATAATAATAAGATTGCCTTATCATAAATATGAAAAATTAGCATTAATAAGAGGAAGGTGTGACCCCTACAAATAAAAATAAATATACTTCTCATCGACTCAGAGATATTGAATTAAACCAATCAAATAATTATGATAAGTACAAACAAAACGACTTTAGAGGAAATTATCAGTTTAATTAGCAGGACTCCTATCAAAATTATGATAATATATTAGGCAGAAATGACTCAAGTCGACTTGATGATGAGTCGATGCAAATAAGCGGATTAGAATCGTCAGAATCTCCAATTCAGGACAATCTGGATTTGTCAAGCTCTCGTGGCTATAGATATAAGAGTTACAAGACTAGAAGAATGAATACTTAAATCGAAAATTAATTGAATTCTACATAAGATAGAGAAGCCTTTTCCAAAGCATACGTTTAGATAAAAAACCAGGAGTTGAAAATAAAATAACTCAAAATTGATTTAAGAGATTTGCATTAGAGACTTAAAAGATCTGAGTAAATCAAGGAAAAGTCTTTGCTCGAGTTGGAAAGAATTGAAAATGAAAATCAGCATATTCAGGATGAAAACAAAGAACTCAAGGGTATATACCAAACCCAGGATGCTGAGATTAAGTTTCTAAGACAACAGAATGGAAGGTTAAAATAAGTTTTGAAAGACAAAGCGATGGAGCAAAAGGATTTTCTTCTAGGGATAGATGAAAGCTTGATTGATAATTTAGACGATAGTTATTCTACTTAGCAAACTTATGCTAGCAAGGATCATCAATCTGGAAGAAACAACAATAATAATTATCAGCATCAAAATACAAACTATAATAATAATATAACGAATGGTTTCAAATAAGTTCAGAACTATCAGGAGATGAGTCCAGGAAAACAAAGAAGTGATTCTCTATTTAACAGCGATAAGACACAACTTGATGATATCAAAAGAACTCTTGACTAGCTTACCAGATAAGCTAGCCAAACTAATAATAATGCAGATCACAAAAATGATTAGATGACAATAAAATCTGCTTAAGAAATAGCAGTGCTTAAATCATAAGTTATTCTCCTTGAACAGAATAATTAGCAACTCAAATAATCAAATACTTTCTCAACAGAATCTTATCAGAAATTAAGGTAAGATTATGAGCACATCAAGGAAAAATACATTTAGCTTAAAGATAACTTTTCAATCGTTTAAGAGACAAAGGATAGATTAGAATCTAAAAACGAATAATTGCAAAATCAGCTGAATTAACTTCAGAAAGAAAGAGATAGCTATCAGTATGGTACTAATAATTAATCAAGCGGTATAAAAAATTAATAATAATCAGAATCACTTTAAAGACAGACTGTATAAAAATCTAAATTTGCCCAGATATCACCTTCTCCGCTATAGGATAATTCAAATAATGATAATAGCCAGTATTTTATGTAAAGCTCTACTAACTTTGAATAAGTACCTCCTTAGTAATCCCTATTTGATGAGTTATAAAACATGAATGGAGATAGTATCATGAATATGAGTAATATCAATAAAAGTAAGATGTAGAATACAACAGTTAATACAAATATGAATAATGTAACAAGAAACAATGAAGGCTAAAAAACTTCTTAAATGCAAGAAAGTACAATTAGCAAACTTATGTAAATATAAAGTGAAATAACTAAGATTAAGGATCTAAAACTTGAATAAGCTAATAGTTAGAATTCTGGAAATAAAACCGAAGAAAATGACATTGCAGTTAAAAATAACATGCTGCTTAACATGATATTGACAAAATTAAATGAGGCCTAACAGATAAATTCTGCTAATACATAAAACTAGCATTAATCTTAATAAAATAATTCAGAAAAAAATTAAGATAGTGCTCACAAGAAGTAAAGTTCAAGTCTTTCTAATGGAAATGATACAAATCCATCAAATAACGGTTAAGATTCAACTAAAAATCATGGACAGTCGTAGGATAGCTCTAGAAAATCTAATAGACTAAGTGGCTCAACTAATAACAATCCTAACTAAACTACAATCCTAGATGTTACTGGTTCAATATTTCCTTGTATAGGAAAACCTCTTCATAAAGCCAATTAATAAGACCATAATATAGGAATGAATCCGAGTAAACAACTATTTGGATAAAATGGAATAATGCATACATCTAAGATAATGCATGCAGGTAATGCTCCCTCTGAAGATCCTTCTTTCATTGATGACTATAATATGATTATTGAGTAGACCTCTAATAGAAGAAAGATAGACATGGGAAAGGATGAGTAAAATTATCTTGAACCTATCGATGAAGATGAAAATGATGGTCTAAATATATCTCACCTAAGTTTGCAATCATATACACATGAAAGTGTTTAAACCAGATAAGATCGCAAAGAGTAATTTTTCAAAGAACATTATAAAAAGATTGATGGATATGAATCAAAGAGTACAAAATGCTCATAAGATAGTGGAGCACTTAGATCTAATTTATTCTTAAATAGAAATTTCGGCTAAAAAAGTAGAAACAGTCTTTAATCAAACCATGTAAAATCATAACCTAATCTTTAGAATGTTTTCGAGTCATAGCAATAATAAAACACCTAATTTAACTAACTATTCTCTAATGTTTATAATCAACCTCCCAGAGGAGGAAGCAGACATTTACAAACTCATGAATAAAAGAAATCAGTCAAAGACACTAACTCTTAATCAAGAAATTCCTCATAAAGATCTGTAAATACAACTTTGTTGTTAAGATAGTCATTAATTGGAAACTATTTGTTAAATTATTAGGCTACCATGGGTTACGGGGTTTAAAATAACAATTGAGTGGATACTATCTGATATCATGATTTTTAAATATAGCTAAAGATATAATAACTAAATTTAATGAGAAGTTTTAATTTAATTTAATATTTAACTTTACTATTTTGTAATTAAGGAAACAAGGGGTTTTGGGGTTTTGGGGTTTT